TTGGTCAGGCCGCAGCTGGAGTACTGTGTCCAGTTTTGGGCACCACACCTGAAGAGGGATGCGGAGAATCTAGAGAGGGTCCAGAGGAGGGCCACTCATGATTAGTGGCCTCCGTGCAAGGCCCTACAAGGGGAGGTTGAGGCACCTGGATCTCTTTAGCCTTCACAAGAGACATCTGAGGGGAGACCTTGTGGCAGCCTATAAGTTTATCAAGGGAGGACAACAGAGAATTGGAGATGTGCTATTTACCTGGGCACCCCTAGGAGTAACTAGGAATAATGGGTACCAACTAGTGGAGAGTAGATTCAGGTTAGACATTAGGAGAAAGTTTTTCACAGTAAGGGTGGCCAGAATCTGGAACAGGCTGCCAAGAGAGGTGGTACTATCAGCTAACTTGGAGGTCTTCAAGAGGAGGCTAGATAGACACCTGGCTGGGGTCATCTGACCTTGGTCCTCTTTCCTGCCTGGGGCAGGGGGTCGGACACAATGATCCTTTGGGGGTCCTTTCCGACTCTACAATCTATGAATACAACATGGGAAGAAAAAGCCTGGTGGCATTTCTTATCCAGCAAAAAGTCCAAAGTGTCTGAATTTAACCTAATGTTCCTTGTCAAGAAGCCAGTCCACCTTGAATTTGCAGAGCCCATCTGTCCACAGTTTTGTTACTGTGGATAGGTTCTGGAAAACCTCACTTCATGTACTAGAGTCAATATTTATTTCACAGTCCAAAGACCATCTCTGATATATGGTATTAGAAACATCTACCAACATTGCAGCTGAAGCTGGAGATGCACCTCTTACAGAGAACTGTTTAGCATATCAGGGTCTTTTTTTCTTGCAGTAGTTGAGAGGTCATAGCAGAATAGACACTGTTAACACTGCAGGCAATGTCAATGCAGAACATTGTATAGATCCTGTTCTGTTGGAAGACAGACATAATTCCTTCTCTACCCAAGCCAAATTGTGTTGGAGACAGATCCACTTCTCTAATGACAGGTGGGATAACTAGCAGAACAACCATTAGAAGTAGAAAGTACCATTAAAAGTAGAAAGTACCAACAATGATTCTTATATTCCAGGATCCTGATTAATTCCTCAGATATGCAGTCAGAGTTGTAAGTATATTTTAGGTATAATTGGGCTCCAGATAATTGGAATTAAGGGCTACGCTTTGATTATTTTTTCAAACAACAACAAATAACTGAATGTATAAATTTAATATATTCATTACCAACTCAGATGTATATACATTTAGCTATGGCAAGACAGCATATACAGCACTTAAAAAATAACATCCCCTGCTAAGATCTGAAGCAAAAACAAAAGGACCTTAGGTTTTCCATTGCTGTTACAGCAGTATCTAGAGGACCCAACACAGGCCATGTTTGTGGTTGCTATCATATTAACACATGCTAAAAAAAAAGACATCCCTGACCAGAAGTGTTCACAATATGAGTGACAAAACAAAGAATAAGTAACAAAGTAACTTGTTTAAAGACATGTAGCAAGACTGAGAGCAGAACCCAGGTTTCCTGACTCTCAGAGCATGACCCTGATTCTGTACTATGCCCAGGGCTGCCCCAAAGCAGTACATGCCATTTGCTCCTTATTTGTGAACAACATCTGAAAATGAGGCAATATAGTCAGCTTAGAAAGGACCTGAGCACATGCCCAGTGCCATTCTTAGGTGGTTTGTGTTGCGCATGCTTATGCATGCCATCAGGGATGTGTTAAAAGTTGCTGCATGCTCCATTTTTGGGAGCTGGTGTAAGCTAGTGAACGAGGCATATTTCACAGCAGTAGGTTGCAATGCAGTGTGAAAGCAGCATGGACAAGTCTAGTCTCATTTCCTGTCTACTAGATCATGCTTGTCTTTCTGTCTGTCTGCAGGACCTTGTAGCTAATGAAAAGCCCCAACAGCAATAAATAAAACAGAGCAATTTGGAAAAAAAAGGCTAATAATATGTCACGAGACTACAACCTGATTTGTATTGTATAGCATTTGGAGGCATAAAGTTCAATAAAATGTACATAAGCAAAGGCTTATAAGCCTTGCTTAAGTATCTAATCTTATTGCTCTGTCCTTTTTAGGGGACTACATCCAATTTAAGATTCAGAAAACAGAGACTCTTTTACTTGTCTTTATTATGTGTGAAATTGAGGTATCCATCCTTGGTGCATTGACAGTGCTTGTCTTTGTATTGAGACATTTACCATACAGTGCTTCTTGGGATGATCTCAGGTTGTAGCTATGAGTTTTATCAAGTGGATAAACAGTAAAGGGGTTAGTTTGCTCCAGAATAATTTTTTCTCATGCTGGCTCTTTATTTTCAGTCTCTCTCTTATATTAGACATTTTTTTTTCTGAGTACTCACTCTAAAAATTGAGCCTGGTACTTTCTGACCAGATCATCAGCACCAACAATGAAAAGTATATGCATTAAATTCTCTCCTTGGTTGCATCTTTGAATCTGTTGTCTTCAAATGTATCTCCCACCTCTTTTACTGGGGACAGAATTTGGCCTACAGAGGGTAAATGAGCTAGGAAAGAGTTCAGTTCATTCTTTCATAGTTGACGTGGCTCTGCAAGACTACCAAAAGGAAAAACTAGAGAAACCAAAATATAGAGACTGATTTGATGACCAGCAGAAAGATTCACAATGTTTTCAGAGGGCTTAGGGTAAGTCAGCTGATTTTATGCTTTTACTTGTGCATGTGCAGAAGAATGTTGCCAGTAACAGGTTGGTTGAACTTGTTTTTGCCTCTTTACAAATGTTTAACAAAGCAAGTTGTCTGGGAAGAGAAGCCAAATTAAATATTTCCTAACCATATAATTGCTTGTGGATAGTTACAGATGCCCTGGAAGACAAAATGCTGATGGGCTCCCTGTCTATCAAATATCTTCAGGCACAAACATTGCTGCTTGCACCTGGAAAGAGTTTGAACAGGAGGTCTTACATAAATTATGTGAAATGTAGCCATATGCTATATTTCTTGAGAATTCTTCACATAGACTTTGGAATGAAGAGTAACTCTGTGCAGGTCTGCAGAATAAGTTCAAATAATCGAATAGAAGTATGGGTGCCCAAAGGAGAGCTGCAAAGGCAAAATATGCTCCCTTCAAGTTCAGTGGAATTAATGATATGCATTAAGTGACTCATCCATTTGTGTCTGTTTTGAATTGTTTTGTTTCTTTCTCAAACTATACAAGGGAGTCATTAGAAGTCTAATTGTGGATTTTTGTTTTTGCTTGCATTTTACCTTATAATTTCAATTTTAGATAAAAATAGCAAATCAGGAAAAGCAAAATTTGATATGTTTGCAATTTCTTGTAGGGCTAGTGAACTAAAATGTAAATGTTCTCTGCTCTCAGTAGAACATCTTTGAAACTTTCATACAGAAAGCTTTTCTTTTGGGTGTTTGAGTGTTCTCATTGCATTTGTATCTTGTGACATACAGAACTAATGTTTGTATTTAACAAGAAGGAATGTTTGTCACTTAGTATTATTTTACTTGAAAAGTTAATATGATATTAGAATGTTATCCATTAACTGGAGTTAATATAATTTACCAGTTGGTTTGCGTTATTCTACAGTCATCTAAAAATGACAAACATTTCTTTTTTAAAGTGGCAGGTTTTCATAAATGGTATAAATATACTGTTTATCCATATTGTATATGACTGGTGCAGTGCCTTGTCATCAATGGCATGATGACAGTTAACATCAGCAGAATATTTCCTAATTATGTACTTGGTTTATGAATTTAATGCTGTTAAGTGTGACCCATGTTAACTTTTTGGATGCTTTTCTTCAAAGTGGCCCTTGTCTAATGGTAAACCAAAGCAGTGTTCTTTGCAGTGTCTATTCCATGTCAGTGGTAATTAAAGATGGGTAAACGCTGCAGGAAATTACTGGTGAACATTCACAGGAGTAAATTATTATTCTCAGCAATGTAGGCAAAAAGTAGAAATTTCACAAATACTTACAGAAATAAGTATTCATGCAAATAAACTAAGACTCAGTAAGCTTTTCTGCAGTTTTACAATAGGTGCTGAGATTCTGTCCAAAGCCAACAGATACATACATATACATGTGTGCGCATATACACACACAAAGCTTGTCTGTCTGTCTGTCATTCTACTACGGACAGTGACAACGTATAAGAAAAGTTTTAAGTAGCTAACCTGAACAGTGGCTTTCTTTGATTCTTTTTGTAACTGGATCCCAGCTGTATATAAATATCATGTTTCCCTCCCTCAGGCTCAGGTTGGCTGCATTCCAGAACAAGCCAGCCTCCATCATAAAGATTTTCTAACCAGGAAAGCCTGTTTAGAAAAAAACTTGTGGTGTTTCTCAGAGACCTTAAAAGAAATATGCGACAGTCATTGCATGCCTAGTTGCTGTGGCCCAACAGAAGATATGAAAAATTCTGTGTGCTTTAATTAACAAAGCAGAGGAAAAGAAAGAAAGAGGTTGAATAGAGGTTATTTATGACATCTTGTCAGGTAAAACAGAAGAATCTATTGCTCAGGTATTAGATCATAGAGGTTATTTCTTTTCACAGCAGTGTGCACAAAACGGATGGAATTGAAAAAGACCTTTCAGGATGGAATCCTGAAAGCAACAGAAGCTGTATGCAAATAATAATAATAATCATATTGTTCATAACAAGCTTAATCTCTACATTTTTTTGGCTAGGAAAGAAACGAGTTTACACAATCTTCTAAGTCATGCAACTATAGCATAAGTCTGGGGACACTCACAGCACACAACCCTGCACTAGGGGAAAGTTAACCTGAAGGAGCTCCTGAATTGAACTGCAGTCAGAACTCCTACATTAACACCTGGCTAATTGAATTCTTATGCCAACCAATTATTCACAGCCTGAATAGTGATAGTTTTGGGGCAGTAAGTTAATAAGTGAAAAATCCCAAAGTTAACTTTCTCCCCTGACAGGAAATGGGATCTTCCAGTTTCCTCACATGATTATCCAGGCACTTTCACTTTTCCATATATAGGAGGAACTCACAGACTGACAGCTCAAACTAGGTAGAAGTACAATCCTCAGACCCATGCAAACTCAGTGTGCATGCACACACAGAGAACTCAAATTCAGAATTTTGTAGAAAGCTGTAATTGAAAGAACTGGGAGCCCTGCTGATAAAGAAGCTTATTCTTCTGGCCTAAAAAGGGGAAGGCACTAAAGGCAGAAGTCCTGAAGTACTATTTTGAATAACCCATCAGGAAAAGCATCAAAATCATGAATGGGCCAGTAGATGGCTTATGTGACCACACTCTGGATGATGAATGGGAATTCATGTTTACTTCTGAATCAGTAGGAGAAGGGCATCCAGGTAAGTAAAAGGCTGTGGTGGATATAGACAAGTTAAACTGTTTTTGGTAGAATGTGTTTTAGAAAGTTTGGCGAAGAATCCAGCCAATGGATTGGATGGGTGTTAGTGTAGTCTAATTTTCTTGCAGGAGATTTGTTTATGTAGATTTTAAAACCTTTGTGATTATGGTGCTACCGGCACTCTAGAATTTCATATATTAACTATGTGACCTGTGTGGCATTTTGCCCTTGCTTCTTTTCTAGTTATTTTCTGAATGTCCTGCAGTGGACTACTTTGAGGCACTGCTGCCTCTCTGATAGGCTCAGGTTTCACATCTTGACAGGGCTGCATTGCTCACCTCTCCGATTCCATATACTTGTGGCCTTGTGAACCTCTCCTGCATACATGTCTTGAACGGTCAGCCAGCAGTGACGGGGTATATTGCTAGGCAAGCTATTTAAAACCCTTTAAAAATCCTTAGCCCCAGCAGCTGTGCATGGTAGCACCACTGACATTTTCTTCTTGCATCATCTGTTTATTGATAAGACATAAGGAATTGCTTAAGCAAATAGTGGCCAATTATTTGCTAAACTTGATGTATTCTCAGTAGAGCTTAATTTAATTTTATTGAAAACAAATGATCATCTAAACATGCAGCTTATGTCAACAAAAAGTGTTCCCTCAAATGAGGGCAAGGGACAACAGGCTGTTTGATGTCCTGAAAAGTGTATTTATTTTAGAAAACCATTTGGCATCCTGCTCCTTTTTGCCATGACAAGGCTTCCCAGGTCAGTGTGCACACTTGTAAAAGTAAATAATCAAAGTGTGGGATGACCTCAGAAGAAGAGGAAGGTCAATGTCAAAACCAAATCCACGTTTGCTTTTGTCTATTTAATGTTTGAATGTTAACTGGATACATTAGATGAAATCCTTACCAGAGACAAATCGGTGTCTCTCTTCATTTCAATGGAACTATATTAAGTTATACCACTTAAGGATCTTTTCCAAGTGTCCATGCTTGAAGTAACAAGTCTGACAAACACTGATATTTACCCCTGGCCCCTGGATGATGGGTTCCACCCAATGCATACTCAGAGACTAGAGCAATGGATTATCGTTGTGACTAGAGCCCTATCACATTCTGCAAGATTCTTTTTAATTGGAAGTGTCATTCTCATAGATGATATGCCACATATTTATATTCATTTGGTTTTAATGGGTCAAGAATGGATAAGCATCAGAACCGGTGAAGATTTGGTTCAGATAAATCTCCCCTCAATTTTACTGCTTCCTTTAGCTTGCTTCCATGTCCATATTTTCCCTTTTATTCTGTCTCGTTCTTTGACCTCACCTATTCTTCACATTAGATGAACCCTAGTTCCTTTGTTCACCTGCAAAAATTGAATTAGCCCCCAAGTTCCACTCTGGGCCCCCAGGAGGGGATGTCCCAGCCAGCTCCTCTGCAGCATATTGGACCCAGTCACAGCAGCCACAGGCTGGCAGGCTGATCTCTAAAAACCCCTTGCCAGCTGGGGCTTTTCTGACTCAGTTCAATGTGCTGCACTCCCAGGTGCATTGGTGCCCAGAAGCAATAAACTCTGGCATGAACTGTGCTGGAGTTTACTGTGTTGCATTAATAGCACATGTAGACACACCCACTTAGTTTTAAGTATTATTAGTATTAAAGCTACTTGTACCCTTGGTTGTTTCAGGTGTGGTCTTCTCCTTGCAGGTCTGTTTGGCTGTTTAAAATCCCATGTATTTAAGGGCATCCTTGGGTAACTGGTCTGTACTCTGGCTGTGGAAAACCTTTACAAAATTTGTGGATATTATCTAGCCTAGAAGAGATTGCCAGATCTCTGAAAAAGTGAAGATGCAGTTGAAAATAGATATGGAATGTATTGTTTCATAGTTTCATAGTTTGTAGGGTCGGAAGGGACCTGAGCAGATCATCAAGTCCGACCCCCTGTGATGCCAGGAAAGAGTACTGGGGTCAAATGACCCCGGCAAGGTGTTCATCCAGCCTCCTCTTAAAGACCCGCAGGGTAGGAGCCAGCACCACTGCGCTTGGAAGTTGGTTTCAGATCCTAGCCACCCTGACAGTGAAGTAGCGCCTCCTGATGTCTAGCCTGAATCTACCCTCTGCCAGCTTGTGACTATTATTTCTAGTCACTCTTGGTAGTGCTCGGGGGAACAGGGACTCCCCCAATGCCTGCTGGTCCCCCCTGACTAGTTTTTAAACGGCCACTAGATCCCCCCCTCAGCCTTCTCTTGTGGAGGCTGAACAGGTTCAGGTCCCTTAGCCTCTCCTCGTAGGGCCTGACTTGCTGCCCCCTGATCATGCGAGTGGCCCTTCTCTGGACCTCTCCATGTTGTCCACATCCCTCCTGAAGTGCAGCGCCCAGAACTGGATGCAGTACTCCAACTGCGGCCTGACTAGTGTCGCATAGAGGGGGAGGATCACCTCCTTGGACCTGCTTGAGATGCATCTATGGATGAATGACAAGGTGTGGTTAGCCTTCCTGACTGCTTCCCCACACTGTCGGCCCATGTTCATTTTGGCATCAATAATGACTCCAAGATCATTTTCTGCCTCTGCACTGACGAGAAGGGAGTTCCCCAGCCTGTAGGTATGCTGCTGGTTCTTCCTCCCCAGGTGCAGTACCTTGCACTTGTCA